AGTGTTGGGCAAAGAGTGAACACATGAACATGGCTTCATCCTCTGTCAGCGCCTGGATCCTGCTCATCAGCGTCTGCACCGCAGGTACCGACAATACTCTATCAATCATCAATACTATGATCAGTGATCAATACTATGATCAGTGATCTGATCAATGATCAATACTATGATCAATACTCTATCAATCATCAATACTATGATCAGTGATCAATACTATGATCAGTGATCTGATCAATGATCAATACTATGATCAGTGATCTGATCAATGATCAATACTATGATCAATACTCTATCAATCATCAATACTATGATCAGTGATCAATGCTCTATCAATGATCAATTCTCTGATCAGTGCTCTGATCAATACTGATCAATGCTCTGATCAGTGATCAATACTGAGGTTAATTCTGTGTTTTGTTCTTCAGATGGAATCTTCACTTATGCGTTGAATCGCTGTGTGTTTAACTCCACTGAGCTGAAGGACATCGAGTACATCAGATCTTATTATTACAACAAGCTGGAGTTTCTCAGGTTCAGCAGCAATGTGGGTAAATATGTTGGATACACTGAGCTGGGAGTGAAGAACGCACAACGATGGAACAAGGATCCTGCAGAGCTGAGCAGGATGAACGCTCAGAAGGAGACGGTCTGCCAACACAACATTGGGAACTGGTACAAGGCTATTCTGCCTAAATCAGGTGAGTTTGTGTCTGAGTTCATCCTGACTTTGAATCAAACTGATCAGTTCATCATCAATAATCAATGATCAATAATCAGTGTTTGTGCTGCAGCTTTAAAATCCATCAGAGTAACAGAGTGACTGACACCTGGACAGGTGGAGTCTGGACTGTAGAGGAGGGTCAGAGTCTCCCTCTGGTGGAGAAACTCTGCTACTGCACCTCTGGTCATATTATTAGTATTAGTATTATAGTGGTCGTTGTACTGGTTTTATTAGGGTCCGAGCACCAAAGGGTGTGAAGACCCTATTGGAATGGTAGGAGTTTTTATTATTCTTCATGACAAAGACACGCGTTTTTGAGGCCCTGAACGTACTCGAAACTGCACAAAACTTGCCACATACATCAGACCCGGCAAAAAAATTTAGAATTTGGAAGAAAAATACACAACTCTAAAGAAAAATGGCTCCATAGCGCCACCTTGAAAATTTGAACAGAGTCCTGTTGGAAGCACCTTTGCCCTAGAGCAACGCAATTCCATCGGCCTATAGAGCTGGTCAGCACGAACAAAAAAGTCCACTTGGACCAAGCTCTAAAATGCAACACGACTCAACTGCGCCCCCTACAATATTTCAACAGAGTCCCATCAGGGCTACGTTTCACCTACAACTACAAACTTCACCACACATGTGTAACAACTCGTGACGCACAAAAAAGTCCATTAGCATGTTTCTGTAAACCCAACAGGAAATCCGCCATGTTGGAAAAATGGTGAGCATGTCGGGCCGTTTTCACTCAAAAATTGTCATTTTTGGCCATTTTCTAAATCAGTCTCCTCCTCCTCGGGGGTAGTGTCGAGTTATTTGGGTTTTGAACTTCAATTGTCTGCCTAAACTCGACTTGGCATTGAAGACAACAGAGGACGCTGGTCCACTCACTCATTTTCCATCTTTATCTGTTCTTTTCAAA